TAAAGTCCGATTACAAGAACTGGCCCCCCCCCCCCCACGCCGGTAACCCAGCTCCTCTTTGCCAGCTCCAATTAATCATTTATTCCTTATTAAATATTTACTCACCTCGCCCGCGCCGGGCAGCGGTTTGGGAGATGCGGGAAGGTCCCCGTTCTGGGGGGAGTTTGACTGGGGGGGCTTTGTCGGAGGTTTTGGGGTGACTCTTTTCCCCCCAGGGATGGAGGAATTGATGTTCGAGGTGACGGTGTCAAACACTTCTGGGATGATTTGATGCTTTGGGAATAGGGTTGGGGATTATTTATTTTTTTTATTTTTTTTTTTTTGCATGGTGATGCTGTCCCGTTGGTCATCCCAGTTGGCAGCAAAGAGGGTGCTGGGGTCAGACGGGTCGGATCCAGCCTGGGAGAGCCCCCCTCCCGCCAGTAACCCAGCTCCTCTTTGCCAGCTCCAATTAATCATTTATTCCTTATTAAATATTTACTCACCTCGCCCGCGCCGGGCAGCGGTTTGGGAGATGCGGGAAGGTCCCCGTTCTGGGGGGAGTTTGACTGGGGGGGCTTTGTCGGAGGTTTTGGGGTGACTCTTTTCCCCCCAGGGATGGAGGAATTGATGTTCGAGGTGACGGTGTCAAACACTTCTGGGATGATTTGATGCTTTGGGAATAGGGTTGGGGATTATTTATTTTTTTTATTTTTTTTTTTTTGCATGGGTGATGCTGTCCCGTTGGTCATCCCAGTTGGCAGGAAAGAGGGTGCTGGGGTCAGACGGGTCGGATCCAGCCTGGGAGAGCAGGAAAGTGCTTTGGGACCCCAAAATGTGCTGCTGGGGGTGCTGGGAACGGGGCATGGGGTCTCCAAATGGAGGGACGCCCCAAAAATCCCCTCTCCTCTCCCAGCCCAGCTAGGGACGAGATGTTTGGCTCTGGGTTGGGAAAGCAGTTGCATCTCGCAGGAGGGCAGCCGAGGGGACACACGGACACACAGGTCCCCTTGATACGGAAGCAAAGACACCCCACTTTGATCTCCCCACCCCGGACCCCCCCTTCTTCTTCACCCAGCGGTACCCGCCCCGAGCTCCCATCCGCTTCGCCCATCCACTTCAAAGGCCGTGCCGGGATGAAGGGGCCGTTAGACCGCACCACTTTGATCCCAGCGTCTTCCAGCTCCTTCCCCGGCCTTGGGAATATATGCGTTACCAATTACCAACCACAAAGCCTTTGAAGTCCCCTCTCGTCATCGTCCCCCACCCCCCCCAGCTCGTGTCCCTCGCCTCTCCAGCATCTTCTCGAGCTTCCAGGAGGTTTAGCTCCTCCATAGGAAACGGCTTGGCCAAAACTGTGGAAGGTGGAGTCACCGAGCCTGGAACCTCCATGCTTGATTTGCGGCCAATAACCAAAAATCCCGTTAAAAACCAACAATGCGCCAGATGTTCAACATCTGCCTCAGCTGGGGAGGTAAACACCTGGTTTGGGACACCTTATCTGGAAAGCTCCTGGCTGCTGGCGGCGTCCATGAGTGCGGGGACTGTACCTGGGGCCAGGGGAGCACCCAGCACTCCCAGTAGGGCTGAATGGTGGGAGCTGGTTTGCGGTGTGGGGGTGAACTGGTCGGCGCCATGGTTATGGCACATCCTTGCTCGGTGCCGGTCTCTACGGGGTACCATGGGGACATGGCCCCATCCCTCTGCTGCGCTCCAGTTCATCCTGCGGCTGCTCCAATCTCATGGCTTTGGGTGAGAGCTGAGCATCGTTGACCACCCAGCACCAACAGGATGAGGCCACTCGGTGCCACCACGCACAGGGGTCAAGGGGAATTATTTTGGCTCCCTATTTTCCCCCCTGCTGGGTACCCCTGCTTTGACCAGGGATGCTCTGCTGTCACCCAAAAAAAAGGGGGCTCTTTGCAGGGAGGCGAAACCTAAAGGTGAGGGAGGATGGAGACACATCCTCTCGAGGACACCCCAACCCTCCGCACCTGCTTGTAGGGGGACAGAGCCACCCCAATTCACTGGGGGATGACAGCATCACCTGGGTGTCACCAAACCATCCAATCCCAGGTGTGGTCCATCCATCCCTCCTTCCCTCCCCAGCGCTCTCACCCCAGTGCCTTCTACCAGCAGCGATGGCCTCAGCTAAAAATCTTTGACAACCTGCCTCGGGAAGGAGACAAGGGGGGAGAAAAACCCAAATCCTGCTTTACATTTAAATCCTCAGCCGGTGCCAAGTGTCACACAGGTATTTAACGCACCACCACCCCCACCACCCCCCCTGCCACCACCACCCGTTTAAAATAGAAAGCGCTCTTAAAAATAGCCCCGAGTGAGCCACCGCTGATGCGACGCTAATCCCCGTGTGTCGTGGCAAGGACCGGGATGGGGACGTGCCTCCTCCTGGCACCCATCGAGCCCGAATCGCAGCAGGTCCCTTTAATGAGGATGAGTGGGGACCCTGGGTGACAGGGACCCGACTGGAAGCCCAGGGAGATGCTTACCCCGAACCTCGGTGTTGTAATCACAGAGCCTTTATGAAAACAGAGGTAATCTCATTTTAGCCAAGGCTTTCAGCAGAATCATTTGCTGCCTTATTAAAAAATAATAACAGCCAGGTGTTTCCCAGAGACAGCTCTTTTCCTGCCCCTTTTTCCTAATTCTTTCTTGTCACCGAGAGACAAGAGGTCACGTCGTCTTTTTTATTCTCTTTTCCTCAAGTTTCACCCTTTCTCCTCCAAAGAAAAGAGGAAAAAAAAAAAAGAAAAAAAAAAAAGGGGGGGGGGGAAAAAGC